CACAAAACGTGCCTACCACCACCTCTGAATCTCAATAATTAATGTTATACATCTTTTTTAATCCATACAGTTTGTTGTTTTACACATGGTTCAGTGCCAGACTAGCTGTTCTGCCCCAGTCTTTAAGCTAAAATAAGCCAACTGTCAGTGCCACTAGAGGAAAATCTGGGGCATCACCAAAGTCAAGTCAATTGTTTTTTCTTATTTGTACAGCTAAATATTACAAATCAAAAATTTTCCTCAAGTGGCTTTAAGTCAGTAGGCTCCATCCTCTGTGGTCCACGAATGTCTGACCATCATCCAACAGTTGTGGGGATAAGATAGTTCAGTCTGGACCAAAGTGGTGGACTGACTATCTAACATGGCAGCACTGCCAGCCCTAGAACCATTCTGCTAACAGGACTAAAAACTGCAAGAAAACAAGGAACGAGAAGCCATGTTTAAAAAACCAAAAACAACATTTACAAGTCATACAGAAGTAAACTCTCAAAACATGAGATCTACTGGCGTCACTGCCAGCATTTTAACCCCACTAGTAAAGTAAAAAGATCATACCCTGCCTAAATAAATATCATTTTTGGAGCATCAAATTAGTGCGGGGGCTATAATCTTTTCACTTTGCTAGTAGCCTATTGCTTCTTGGCCTACACAACTAATTCAAAAACATTTTGGGGGAGGCGCATGCACTTTTTTTCAGTGCAAACATTTTAGCCCCTAAATGTTAAATATCTTTTGGTGTCACCTTAGTAAAACTATGCCATTTGTAACTTAACCGTGTTTGTTTTTTTTTCTTTTTAGCTGATGGGTTTTGGAAAAGTTCTCTAAAAACCCCAGAGTCATACAGTCACCCCAAAGGAAGGAAGTTGTTGTAAGTGAAAACATGTTACCCACCAAATTTGGCATGTAGTCACATGACAAGATCTACTGTATCTAGAGAGACAAGAGACAGAATATTTAACAAATGACGGTGATAATCTGGGAATGTATCAGTTTACAGTTGTGTATCTTCATTGTGTTCCCTCATCTTCGTCTGCCTGTTCCTGTCAGGCCCCCACCTGCCCCACCCCCCCATCGATGTTCTTTTCTGTCTGGAGGTCCAGAGGTTAAGTTGTCCCCAGCATGTGTTCCTGCTCAGGGCAGCAGCAGCCAGGACCTGTGATGACAGAGTGTTCGAATGCTGGGGAGAGCCATGGGGTTAAGTGTGTGTACAGGGGGTTATATGGGAGACACCCCAAAACATTTTTCTCCCACCTGGCTACCTCCTGTGTAGAGAGGACAGGACTGATCCGATCTTTACAGGAAGACTAGCTATACTGATATTGAGAGAAAAGGAAATTAATTAACAAAACCTGAATTGGACAAACAGTAGCTTGATACTTGCAAAGGTCAGTCAAATCACAGACCACTGATCCACATCTCAACTGAGCAAAATTACTACTGAATGTATTTGTTCTTTTCTTATTGCCTTTAAAATTGGTTTTGTCAGTTTAAAGCTACAATTTTCTCTCTCAACTGAAAGTGGCACCGATATAAATTCTTGATCTAAATCCAAATTTGTTGGTTTTTTCTTCCTTCCCTTGAAAATATGCTCTTATTATCTGAGTAGCTGTCTCAGCTAACACTGGAGTTAGCAGCCTGCTAGCCGGCAGGTCAGTCATAATGATGTCAATGGAGCTGAAACACATTTCCATTTTGATTGTCAGCTGTGTAGTCCCACCCCTGACTGGTTTGAGAGGGCAATCCTAGTCAAAAATCTTTAGAAGAGAATATCTTCAAATAGCCTTTGACAGCACCTCTGCCCATTGGGGCATATATCTATTAAAACAACGTCCAAAAGATGTTATATACTGTAACTTTTAGTTAGATTAAGTTAGATGTTTACAGTATGTTTTCTTACTATATTCTGTCAAGTAGTTTTATTCTTTTATAATTCTAGTCCAATGTGTCCAGGACTTACATATAGACAATGGGATTCTAAATCAAATTTAGAGTTTCCATTTCACCTGTATCATGCATGTCTTTGGATTGTAGAAAGGAGCCGAACATCTGGAGTAGACCCACAGATGCTGGCAGAACATGCGAACATCAGGCAGCTGGTTATCAAATTTGAACTGAAAGCGTTCCATGCTAACCACCAAGTCAGTGTGCCAACGGGTTTCTCTCAGACTACATCATTATTTTTAAGTTCTTCTCTGTGTGCACACCAAGAGCCACACATGGTAGGAACACACACACACACACACACACACACACACACATTTAACACAGTAAGAATGACAGAAGCAGCTGCTGGCATGAACTGGAGGTCATGTTGGATCACAACACTGAGAGAAAAAAAAACAAACTCTTTAACCCAGGGGGTTGTCTAATATGTGAGTTACTGGATCACACGGTTAGCGTTTCCCTCAAAGTGTCTGTCTGTGCAAGAACAAAAAACAAAGTTGAGTCAGTATGTATGGGTGTAACATTTACATTATAAATGTTTTACTTATTTTGTTTTATCACATTTATTCGCCTCAGAAGTCTAAATGAGCACAGCAGAAGCATATTTGTCTCAGCAGGAGAGACTCTAAAACCACATAACTCACATTTTGCAGTACATAAAAAAAAAATTAATAACTTGATAAATAACTGCACTGTACCCAAGAGTCAACAATCCAATTGCATTGAAATCCACATCTGTGGCATAGGCAGTTTGTTTTTTTAAGGTCTACATTTTCCATGATCATCCCGTGATCCCAAATTGACTGGACTGATACCAAAAACAACAAAAGAAAAAAAAATTTAAATCAATATTACTACCAGATCAAGAACACAGGCTTGACAGAACTGACTCTAACGTGCACTTGGCAGGTGTAACTGAGATAAGCTCTCAGAGGGAAATCGACAGCTCAGATGTAGCTACAGATCTAAGCCACTAAAGGAAAACCAGACCTAAGCATAGTCGATAGTAGTAATAATAATAATACACACCACCACCTCACGTACTCAGCAGATAATTATCAATTTAACCACCATAAATGCAAAGCCAACAATGTGTGTAAACACGTTTCAATTTTAACACATAGTGACAAAGAAAACAACAATCCCAACACCTGGTGCACCTTTGGGTCCACATGTCACATTCACTCATGACAAGAGCAGCCATGAAGCAGCGCTGTATCTCGCTAGTTTACACTGAGGTGATTTAATATAATCTGGACAATCTGCCGCTCATGTTCCAGTGACAGTAAAGTCAAGTTGTCCAGACGATCACTGACGACCAGAGACGCGTTTTATTCCTGTTCTTGCTGTTGAAGACAAGTTCACTTTATTTAAACTATAGCCAAACTTGTGTTGTGTATTTCTTCCTCCTCTAATAACTTGCTATGTATATGTGATTAGACGTGTTAATTAGCCTATTTAATTAATAGCTTCTACTTTTTTTTTATTTCACAGCAAAATCGGAATATTGCCGAACCTCCACTGGCCTGTGCCTTAGAGTCCAGGGCTACTCACCTGGTCCACAGGTGTTCACTTCGTCTTCCCTTCGTCTTCTGGCGGATTACAAACCAGCAATTAAGGCACATAACGCCACCTATAGTTACAACACTGAATTAGCAGGAGGGGGAAAACAAAACAACAACAACAAAAACAATTATATCCTATTTGACCAACTTTTCCCTATTAAAGAAATAATTTTTTACTCCTGCATACCCAACCCTTAACACCACCTCCTCTCCCTGATCACTGAATATTTTTGAACTGCATTAACTGATTTTTTTTTTTTTTTTGTAAAAAAAATTTGGTTATTTCATTTGGATTTATTTTCATATAGCAGCATGTGTGGAGAAAAAAAGACATATTGGCTGTTCTGCTGCCAGGCAAAGGTCCAGCGATCCAAAAATGTGTCATTATCCGGCCGTATGAAATGCCATTAAAACAGTTCCATTTAACTACACTCTGGGGTGTATTAAAGAAATAATAGCCTTTTCAGTGCAAGGGTTCATTAATAAAAGTAATGTCTGAGCTTTGGAATTTTGCAGGTGTGATTTGTCTTCATCTTTAATGGTAAGGACTGATTAAGAAAGCAAACAGTGTGTGTGCATGTGTGCTCAAATGTATGTATATACTGTGTGTGTGTGTGTGTGGGTATCCATAGGAGTGTTTGATTAGAACACCACTGCTTGTACTTTTCTACTGTGTGTGTGTGTGTGTGTGTGTGCTTAATGACATACAGTCTGTGTCAGTGTCATCTTATTGGCTGAATCATTCAGGCTCAACAAGCAGCGCTGACATGACTATGAGTGATCCTTAACTTTGTTATTAACCTAAACTTTATTTATGGAGCGTGTGGTCCGGCTGCACAAGCCGCACACAGCGGCACCCCTACAAGGCCCGGCAGCAGACACGATTAATCAGAAGAATGTTATAATTAGGCTTCATACCCCCAGGCTGCATGAACATGCACACACAGAAACAACACTATATGTGAGCATGAGCATAATGTATGAATGCATGTGGTGCACAGGGGGCCCTGTGTATGTAAGCAGGGTGGATGGGTTGCAGAAGTTTTGGAAGGGCCGGGTGTGCTGTTTGTCCAAAATGCTTTAAGGCCTTTTCTCTTCATCAGAGAGGTTGTTAAACAAAAGTCAGTTTGTTACAGTAGCAGGGGCCGGGGGGGGGGGGCATTTAATACACGCCAATGCAGAAGTCTGAGCAACCATCTGTGAGAAAGACTGTTGTGTTCACTGTCAAATCTAATGTCTGGTTATCCCCGTTTTGCCGGGGGTATTTTGGTTGGACCACATGAGCGCATTCAAAAGTATACATCTGTCTCTAAGTGCATTTGTATTCGTCTGCTGGGTGAAGCATAGTCAGGCGCAGTTGCTTCCTTTTTCTCAAGTTGTGGCAAAAATAAATACAAGCACTCCATTTTGTAATTAACACCAGATGAACAAAAAATGAATAAAACTGCAGATATTTTTGGAATGTTTCTTTTATTATAAATAGTAGGGATAATGCGCTTGTAAACATGACATTATGTCATATCACTTTGTCAAATAATACAAAATATATCAAATGAATGAAAGGACTGGTTCATTCTAATGCAGACACGTGGACAAAACAAGAGCGCTTATGAAAGCACTCGGCTATTCTGAGCTTTAATTTGATGGATAAAGTATTGCTTGTCACTTGTACCTTGTGGAAATTTTTACAATGACACTGTTGAAATACAGTACATTTGTGACAATAAATATGTTTGAAATGCACTAGAGATTTAATCAGTATTTCCTGCTCCTGCTAAAGAGAACCAGAAAGGGTCCCAAGCAACACAAAATAATAAAGAATATATAATTTTGGCTTTGTCATTCCTGGAGATTTTATGTTTACACTGGCATTCTCTTGATTCATTCTTTCCCTCATGATGCTATGTTAACTTAAGTTTGGACAACTGTGGTCCCTTCATGGTGTTGTTATAGAAACGTTAACAGTGTTTCCTATTTGATTTGGACCCAAAAGCCTTCAAAGGCACATGTTGCTCTGGAGTTCCAGAGTCGACCCAGAGTTTGACTCCAGAGTGTTTTGTAAGACTTTCAGAGGCACATTTGAATTTATTATATTGTTTGAATAGTGAGGTTGACTCTGAGATATGTGATATTGCACTTCTGGTCAACTAGGAGAATGACTGCCTTTATCATTAACTAAAGACGGTCTCAGTCTTTCGGTCGTGACTTGTGACCCGGTGGCTTTTTCTTGATGGGAGAGGATCTTTAAAGGGTTTTTTTTTTTAAACCGTGTGATCGATTTTGCCTACTTCCCCCCACCTTTAAAGCCACTACTCCACCGCCCTCCTCTACAGCTTTCTCATCTGTCACGTTTCCTAAAGTCACCCCCTGACCTCCTCTGAGTCTCTCTCTAAAACTACAAAAGGCCAAGACCTCTTCCTCACCGTCTGAAACATCAGCGGGACAGAAGGACAGCAGAGAGTGAGGGAGAATCGGGAGGTGGAGGAATGTCTGAGTGAACTTTCTCAGTACAGCTGTGGTGTACATTAGAGTTTCTGATACAATAAAACCCACAGATTCATTTGCTCACGTTTGTTTTCCTTCTCTCTGGAATTTCTCTCCATGTGTGGGATGCAGAGGGCTCAAATAAATGCAGTAAAATCAACAAAGCCCCTTTCTTTTCTCCTTTTAGCTGATACAATTTGGGGATTAATTTGGAGATATGTGGAATTTTGTATGTACTCAAGTGGCCCTAAAATATGTAAACATCCTCCTTTAAGCATTGGCCTAAAGGCTGGTAGTCTGCGATGATAGATTTTCATTTGCTGTCCTTAAAAAGACCCCAAAAGCAGAGTCCACAGATGGTGTTTGGTCACTGGATTTGCCTGTGGAAAGTGCTTCCTCATGGCACTATAGATCGTCACAACTTCACTGAACCAACTGCATTAAGCGCTGACATCTCTTCCGTTCATTAACAATACTAATGCAGCACAGTCAGTTAACTGCTTTTGGTTTGATATTCCTTCTTGCGGTCCCTTCTTCTTTTGTCCGTTTTTCCACCAAGAATTAATCTTATAACGTCCTGCAGTAGAGAATGTCTCCTGGTAAATGGCAGCAATATTTTGGTCCAGATATTAAAACATTTCCATCATTGTACACACAAATTGTTCCTCTGTAAATTCCAGAGCTTCTGATCAGGTGATTTCAGGCCTCAGATAAGGAAGGGCACCTGTTAAAAAGGATGAAACAGTTAAATTATTACCAGTGAAAGGAAAGTGGAAAGATGATAAAAGAGATAAATGACCACAATAAACTTGGGGCATATGTTTTAGCGTGCCATTCCACTAACATATGTACTGTATGGCTATTGTTAGCGTGTGATTTGGGGTGTAAGGTCAGTGGAGGAAGATGTGAGAACAAAAGTGTGAAGATGCTCTGAATAAATGCAACTATAATTTAAAATCTGCAATATTATAAGGAAAACAAGTGAAGAATCCTATATCCTATATAAAATATGCACTCATTGCTTTATATGCAAATCCTCACCTGGCCAAGTTTCTAAAATATACTGGTCATATATTTAATTTACCACCCCAGACACAAAAAAGTCTCATAATGTTTTATTCAGGTGCATTTGTCATATTTTACCTACTCTGTTAACTGTTCCCTTATGTTTTCTTTATTTCCTCACATTCTTTTGCCTTCTCCGTATTGTCAGCAGTAATATTTTGGTGGTGAAACGCTGAATAATTTACAGATTTGTGGTTGTTATTTGTTGCCCTTAAAGGGCAGCAGGGTGGTGCGGTGGTTAGTGCTGTTGCCTCGCACCAAGAAGGTTCCGGGCCTTTCTGTGCGGAGTTTGCTGTGGTGACCCCCAACAGGGAACAGCCGAAAGTAGTAGTAGATTTGTTGGCCTTAAAACAGCAAAATTTAAGAATCAGCCAATTAAGTATTACACTGTGGAATGTAACTCTCACAATGCTGCTAAAATAAAGAGACTCTGGAAACAATAGTGCATTAAAGTTCCCATGTAAAATCTTCCAGTTTTTTGTCAGGACATTATGTTCTCTGATTTAACTAACACGGTCATGATTAAATCATTTTAAAAATGGAGAACTCCTTAAATTACAGCCTGTAACCTACTGTATAATTCTTTAGTATTTATCAATAACATTAGACATGTTTGGTGTTCTCTACTACTAATTATTATTGCAGGTCTTTGCTCTGATCAAATAGTAGTAGATATATGATATTTAGATATTTAGTCTACATAAGAGTAAACAGGTAAAAATACACAACCTACAGAAACGTGACCAACAGAAAATTCAATCCTACACTGAGGCCTCTGCAATTTGCTGTTCAAAAACACTACAGCAATGTCTGCTCAGCAACAGAGACATTACCTGAATAAAAACAAACAAGTATCTCATAGGTTACCATTGTAAATTCCGTGAGCCAGGCCAGTCAGAGATACATGTCACCAAAATGTGCAGCAGTACAGACCAGTTTCTTACACTGCGCTGGAACCTGGAACAGCACTGCTCAACACTGCTTCTCCAGCTGACCTCAGTCCTAGCACCTGTTTCTAATAGCCGCCCTGCCAGAGGCTATTAGGATCCATCCACCCCCAGAAAGGACCTTTCCTCTGCAGCTCCAAACCCAACCGCACACCGGCTATCCAGTCGCACTGATTAATCACATCAAGATGGACTGTTCAGGCCTGTAACACTGCGGAGGTGTATGTGAGTGCGCGCGCTGTCCTGGTGGCTGGGTTTGAGAGTGTGTGTGTGTGTGTGTGTGTGTTTAAATGTACAGTGCCACATGCTAGCGGTTTTTCGCATGTCACCCTAACTCTTTATTCTGTCCACTTTGAGATATTTGAGCGAGATATTTCATTAGACATTTGCTGCTCTCGGATATTAAGTTAGATATTCATTCGATACCTGCCACCCCACAGAGCTAGATGGAGTCAGGCTTGTTGGACTAAACCGCTGCCATGCTCTTTGAAGGGCCCACTTGTCTCGAGGTTGCCACAAGGTCAGTGGATGAACCTGATTGGTCAACCCCCTGTGGACCAGAATTGGAAACGGCGGCCGCTGTAATCAGGCTGTGACAGAGAATGACTTGTCTTCCAAAGTTAGACGGAGATTTGTTTGAAGTTGAATTTAACCCTTAAAGTAACAGTAATGTGAAGTGAAAAGAGCCTCTCAGTGCTGGACAGGTAAGTATTCTCTGAGAGCAAACAGTCTGAGGAGGGCTATCAGACACCACTACAGCTACACTTTACCCTGACGGGAGCTGACTCTATAGTGTACCTGACTGCAGAGTTCAGTATCAGCGCTGGGACGATCAAATCAGATCTGCACAATTAACCCCAACACTTGACACTGCATGACTGGACCCGGAAAAATGTTAGCTGCAGTAAAGCAGCTACCTGTGTGCTGTCATCTGCATTTACAAATGTTTTTTCTCCATCCCTGGAATCAAAGCGAGGTATTTGCGGTTACAGGAGATGTGTCTTGGACCAGCAGACTACCAGAAAGCCTGATAATCATACACTGTATCCACTGATTTGATTCAGATGTTTTCATTTTAGTTCTTTCACTGAAAATAAGTGAAAGGCTGCTATGCACCCACTCAGCAGTTTGCACTAGAAAACTGGAAAGGTCTTGAGGTCATTAATTTAAAAATAATCATGTGGCTTTGTTGTTCTGTGGTCACATGATTGCAAAATCCTGACACAAGCACATTTTCAAAAATAAGTTTTTAAAAATGTTGACAGATATCCTGCAGTTTTGTACACAAGATAAATCAAACGTGTCAGCAAATGCAAGAACCGCATAACTACTGCAATGCTTCGTAAGCTCATTAATGTCAATACAAAATCTGTTAATCACCACCGAACCAAGCTAAGCAACCATAACACTGTTGAATATTACTCGCTGACAACACTGCCTGAGTTATGTCAAGGTTCTGTTCCCATTTCAATCTCGGGACTATTTTTGCATGACGAACTACCAAACTGAAAAACCAAATGAGACAGACTGAAAACATGATTTATCTTATCTCAGTTAGAAGATCAAAATGTTTAGGCTGCAAAGCACTCAGACAGAAATACTTTATCCATCACACTATTTAATATGATTAAAGGTTTCATGTCAGGACCAGGGTACTTAATGATATTTAAAGCATGTCAAAGCATCGCTTAAAAATTATAAACTAATTACACCCAGTGTGGATGGAGCCGACTGAAAATGGCAGTGGTGGGCTGCATCTAAGTAAATGGTTTTATATAGCGTTTTTCTACTCACTGAAGCGTACGCAAAGAACTTTACACTACTTTCCAGCCCCCCCTTTTCACTCACACAGACATTCACTCACTCACACACCAGTGATATCACCGGGGGTAACTTGGGGTTCAGTGTCTTGCCTAAAGACAGTTCAACGTGGACTGGAGAAGCCAAGGATTGAACCATTCCCCCCCCCCCCCATTACCTGAGCCAACGCCGCTTAGATTCAACTCAATTATTGTACGTATGTACACTTCTGAGATACTTGTACTTTACTGCATTATGTCTATTTTATGCCACTTCATGATCCTATTCAAATATTCAGTGGGAAATGCTGCACCTTTTATTTTCTAGTTATCTTTTGAGATTTTAGACACAAAACATACCACTTTGAGTGCTGTTTATATATTAATGCAACAATAATAATGATCTAATAGAATAATACAACACTGACAGGTGCCATTCTATTTAACGAGTACTTTTACTTTTGAATCTTTACAGAGCATATATTTGTTTGAATATAATGATTATGGATGGAGAAGCTTAGTCTGCGTATATAGCATATAACAAATTTGTGTTTCATTTTCTGATTTTTCCTATACTTGTTACTTTCACTCCGTTTACTGTCGCTGTGTCTTGGTTTCTTTTTATGCTAACTGCTAACTGACTAAATGTGCAAACAAAGATCTTTATTATCATTATTACATATGGTATTTGCTTGAATTTTTGTGTACAGGTCTGGGTATGGAAGTAAAAGGTGAGAATGAAAAAGGTGAAGTTTATTGACCTTACTTTGTCCGTACTGGCTGTACTGGTAGGGCGCCATGTGGTCGACGGTGTAGCCTGGTGAGCTGTAGGAGGGGGGACAGTAAGACTGGGAGCTGGGCAGGGAGGGCAGAGCTGACATGGAGGGAACGCTGGTGAGACCCTCCAGGCCCTTGATGTGATCCATGCGCTGGCTGCAGCTGGCGGCCATGCCGGCAGGAGGCTCGAGGCCGCCCGTCAGAGGGGAGATGGCGTAGTCGCTCTGGGGCTGATGTGGCACACCGCCTGGATTCAGCAAACCCATCACCTGATGGGAAGGAAGTGAAGAAGAGAGAAATGAAAGTTAAATTAGTTTCAGGCTGTATACTGCATACTGGCTCTAATGTTAGTGGGGTTTGAGCAGAAATAGAAACAGTGTTTGTTTGCTTAAGCACACATCACCAGTGGAATTATGACAAACAGGATGGATTTCACCACTAGGATTACAGAGACTGGCCCCAACTCTAATTCCAACCTGAGCTAGGGGAAATACAGCTAAGACCAGAGGGGTAGGGGATGATATGTGGAAGACAAGCCTTTATAATATCAACTCAAATCAAAATTTATTTATGTAGCACTTTTCTAAACACACTGTTACAAAGTGCTGCACAAAGAATAAAATCAGGTACAAGAATGGAATAAAATAAAACCACAACAGCAATAAAACAAGACACCTCACAACAGCACAAAAAGTCAGATACATGGAATAAAAATCACAGCAATAAGCAGCTCACTTCACACAACAGTGGGAATAGTACTTAGCAGAACATTAAATATCTCTAATGTTTAACATAAACGCATAGGAGAGTGTGTAATATAAATTGACACAGACACAGAGCCAAGCGCACATTTGGACACACTGAGGAAATCCCCCTGTCGCGGACATCAAAACAAAAGCCCGTTCCAGACAGAGATAGCACCAAAGAGGAAGAATTAAGCAATTTGTCTCAGAGCCACAGCTCCGCTTATTCTAAAATTTCTTTTTGACAATGCTCCAAAAGTCCATGGCACAAGATAGCAACTTATCTCTAAGCAAGATATGCCCGCAAAGATAACACAAAAGAAAGGTCTGTGTTAGCTCAGCACTGTTCAACCTCAGAATAGATTTGCAGTTTGAGAAATCCTTTAGTTCTTGACCTGTTCTTTATTAGCGACCAGATAATCGAATTTGGGGGAATAGTCCTTTGCCAGCAAAGGATGGAAAATAGCTGTGGGGCAAAGTTTTTCAAAACAGACCTGATACCACAGATCCTCTTGTTTGCTCATTGAAGTTACCTGTCCGTTATTAAGGTGCTCAGTAAACTGTTAATAAGGAACTGAGATTCTAACTGAAAGTAACTCTAACTGAACCTACTGCCTCTAAATGTATCATATCCCACCTCGGTCCCAACAGAGCAAAGAGCTCAAGGCTCCTTCAGTTGTTCTAATAAGAAGCAGGTATGCTGCTCTTTGGGTCCTCTTGGCCTTCTAAGTGACATATTATTCTACATCCACACACACACATGTTCCTGCTTAAATCATTTCCCAAGTAGGGGAGGTGAATGGAGGAGTCCATGCTGATTTGAAGAGGGGAGTTGTGTTTCTTCACATGCCCAGCAACATTTTCCCCCAAAAAATTAACCTGCATTTGGAAGGTTTGGTGTAAACAGGAAGAGAGGAGGGATACCACGATTCTGAAACAAGACACAGGTAGCAGAAATAAATGCCCTTTAAACAGATGGAGTCTGGCGTTTGCTCTCTTTCACCTATCTCTATCATCATCCTTCTTTCTCCCCTGCCTCATGAGATGGCTGCTGGCTGGCCCATCCAGAGTGTTTCATATTGGAGTGCTGCCGTTGCCAGCGGCCTAAATCAGTGGGTCCACGAGTTAGCAAGGAAGAATGTTAGGATGGGGGAAACATCTGAAATGGGACATTTTTTTCTCCGCCATATGAAATATATACAAATAAATTAGAACCGTTGCTTTCATATCATGGCAAACATTTTGAGAATGTAATCATGAGAAGCTTCCCTTGAGGCTAAACTCTGTTGCTTTGTTTGTGCACATATACATGACCATGAAGATGATGTGTATATGTATCTGTAGGTTTGAAAGCATGTGTCACAATACATACATTGCACCAAAGTCACACAAATAAAATGGTCAGAAGTTAGAAAGTAGCATGAATTTATGTGGGAATAAAAGAGAATTCTTGTTCCTTGTACTGCTGTTGTATTTGAAATATAAAATTGCACTAATTCATCTGAACAGAAAGTTGAAAATTTGACTTAGGTGTGCTTTCAACCATGTCATGTAGTAGTTGTGGAAAAGATGTTGAAAAATCCTTAACTGATCCTCAAACTGTCATGGAGTTGATCAATTATCTACACCGTGCATGTGTGTGTCTCTGTAAATATGTGAACCTGTGAGCATATGTGTGTATCAGGATGAGTGTGCATCTATCTTCACACTGCTGCGGCCTGTTCTCTGAGAAGTCAGACTGCGCCAGGCTGAAATCTCATTTTCTGCCTGTTAGGGTCTTTAAGTCCTCTGTCTCCTCTGTTGTACCCTCTGTCTAGGTGTGGAGACCTTGGGATTCATGCCTGGATAATTGCCTGTAATTGACTTTTCACTTCTCATTTGTCACATGCTCAGTTGTCCTCTGTCCTTCTGGAGTCATCTCTCTTTTCACCTCCAAAAGGGCGACTCATCCTCCAGTTCTGTAAGGAGTGGGTGAGTGTAGAATATACAGTTTATGGCGCAACAAGCGTGTGTGTTTATGTACTCCACACCTGGGTGGAATTTTATGTGAAAAGCCATCAAAACAAAGCAGCTCTTGATTTATTACGAAGCTGTGTGTCTGGCAGGATAAATCGAGTCTCAAGCGGCTTCAGCTCTTTGGAATCATGTTCAGATTTAGTTCGGCCAAGCTCTGGTGTGGCATGTCATGGGTATTATCCATTAAAGTTAAACTATCTGAGTCTCCAGCGATACGTGCAGTCAAACACAGCTCTTTTTCCTGTTGTTAGTGCACTGCAAAAATACAAACTTAAGTCAGGTAACGTCATTTAACTTTGTGTTTTTCTTAACACAAATTAATCCAATGTCAGTTTTCAAATGACATTTAAGTATGTTAACATTATACTTTTATTGATTTATTAATGGTAGCATTTTTATTGAGTTAAATCACATATTGTCAACAAATTTCTTAAAACTTTCTTTAAGGAATGTACCGTTAAATGAGGGATATAAGGACACTGAGGAATTAAGCAGCTCATATACATGCACCTATTTCTGTACCTGTCTCACCTGTGGAGAGAGCCCGTTTCCTATGGCGGGGTTCATAGGATTGGCCGGTCCTCCAGGGCTCACAAAGCTGTCTGAGTAGCCTGAGAAGGAGTGGCGCCCGGAGGCGAGGCAGTAGGCAGAGCCTCCTTCTCCCTGTCCCCCACCACCAGAGGCCTGGTGGCCCGAGGAAGGAGGGAGAGGCTGGGGCCGATGCACCGTGCTGGGGGGCTCTGACACTACCAAACACATGATGGATAAAGTTAGAACACTTTTAAGGATTGTCAGATAAAAGCTACAAAACAAAACTGCTAATTGGTCGGTGCAGCTAAAACCAAAGCATACAGCTGTTGTTACTGTGTCGATTTCTTCAAAAATATTTTTGAAAATATGTCTGTTCTGTGTGTAAAAAATTTATATTTAGATGTTTTTATTTTTAGAAACAAAAGTCAAAAATATTGCATAATATATTTTCATGGGGCAGCCTTCCTCATTTTGTTTTTAAAACAATTATAATGCTAATCATTTTAACAAAGGAAGAGTGGTGTTGTAATTAAAAAGCAATAGTTCTGTCAAAATATATTTAGTTGAATTTAAAATCATTTTAAAAAAATTAAAATGTGCAAAAATGTGTTTTTATAGTAAGGACAGTAAGTCACAACTTCCCTCCATGACTTACACACGTACCTTTTTAACAGTGTTAATGGAAACTAAAAGCCGAGGATCTTCATTACACTTTTGACATCATGTAAAACTTTTATAGCTCCAACTGGGATGACTTAAACTTTTGAACCTCAAATAAATGGTTTCATGTCTGTCTGTGGTAGATTATTCCTACCATAAATGAGTTCTGAAAACCAATGGAATTAAATGAAAAATTCACTGTCGTCAAGCCAAGAACAAAGCTTTCTTTCATTTAACCCCAAAAAATTACAGTTAATTTGCACTGGCAGAAAAATCTTTGCTCATGGCATGAATACTTGAAACTGGAATTTGATTTGAATAAACCGCTTTTCACATTAACTGTCAACCACTGTGTTAATGATGCAAGTTTGTTCCCAACCTTGTGCTATAGATGAAGTGGGGTAGGTGCTGTCAGAGAGCTGGTAAGGTGGGATGCTGGACATAGCAGAAGGTGCGAAACCTCCTGGGATCAGGTGATTAAATGTCATCAGTTGATTGGCTCCTGCTTGCTTCCTCCATCTTGCCCGCCTGTTGCTGAACCACACCTAGAAAAGGTAGCAGTGATGATGTACTTCATGTCTGTAACACTCCAATCTCACACAATCCATCTGTATCCATTTTGCACGGGTAAATAATGTATCACCTCTCCACATGCTGTAAATGTGCACATTTGCATATTTGCATAGAGAGTAGGAGACTGACCAATAACCTCTCTCACAGTTCCATCAGAGTGTGAAACTGAAAAGCAATGTGGGAGACAATGTGTGAGATAAAGTTGTGTGTGTACATGTATTGTGTTTGTATCCTGGCCAGCTGCAGTAAGTGACATGCTGTGTCCATATGGTTGCAGACCTCTTGCTGGGCTTGCTTACATTTCCCATATGGAGCTGCTGGAGGAGAATTTACTGGAGTCCAGATCAGAAGTAGAAGAGTTCAGATTGGGCCCCTGGGAGTGAAGATGAGAGGCACACGTGTGTGTGTCCCTGTACTTCCTACATAGTGAGGACCAAAAAAGTTTTGGTTTTTTTTTTTTTGCTACAGAGTGAGGACATTTTGGCCAGCCCTCACTTTCTGAAACAGCTTTTTAAGGGTTAAGTCTTGGTTTTAGGGTTCAGGTTAGAATTAGGTTTAGTGTTAGACATTTAGTTCTGATGGTTAAGGTTAGGGTAAGGGGCTAGGGGATGCATTACGTCAATGCATATCCTCAGAAAGATAGAAGTACAAGTATGTTTGTGTGTTGTACTGTATGGAACAAACTGAGAGGGAGTCGAACAATTTAGGGAGTCAGAGAACACAAAGCTTCAAGGTTTATGTCTAAAGCTGTGTGTGTGTGTGTGTGAGGGATGTTCATAGTGAGGTCAGGTCACCAAGTGCATGTGTTCGGTTGTATACAGGTACCTGTTTGACCAAAGTGCTGTTGCCATCTCATAAACACTTTTATGATTATCTTCAGCTGAAGGATTTCATGGTTTTCTTTGTGGTTGAGGTGAATGTTAAAACTCTTGAGCTCATAAAAACCCTTCCAAATATCCATCATCTGAATGTCTGTATTCAACAAGACTAAATCCACCTATCTCTCTGCAGTTCCTGAGCTACTCACAGTGGTGTGTATACTGTACTGTATGTGCATGTTTGTACCTGCACCCTGGCCTCAGTGAGTTTGGCCCTCTGGGCCAGCTCCTCCCTGGTGTAGATGTCAGGGTAGTGGGTTCTCTCGAAGGCTCTCTCCAGCTCCTCTAGCTGCTCTGCTGTGAAGGTGGTCCGACTGCGCCGCTGCTTCCTCTTCAGTGGCAGATCGGGCTCTGACTCCACGTCTGAACCCTCATCTGAGTGACTTGCTGTTCAAACACAGAACAAAGAAGATGCAAAGTAACCACTAACTAAAGATGTATGAGAAGGTATGAGAAATTTAAATTGTTCGAATACTATTACAAGTACCTCAAAATTATTGCTCCTGATCAAACTATTTGAGCAACTATAGTTTGTTTCTTTCCAGCTCTGTCAGTACAAATTTAAATCAAGCCTCAAGATGACAGAAGGGGCAACAGAGGAACAACGGGGACTGTTGTTGGTAATGTACTGTAAATATACCCTTGGGCACTGTCTGTCTGGGCATCTGTGTTGGTTTTTGTTGTTGCTGGTAGAACTGTAGTACATCCACAGTTGGTGCACTTTATCCATCCACACTAGTTGAGGTAAAGGAAAGTCGTTGTTCCTGATGATTTCTGCCACCTTCCCTCTTTACTTACTCTAAAAGATCAAAATCCTGTCTGTTTTCTTAGCTTTGCTATTACGCTTCAGCAGTAATTATCTTTATATATAAAACTTCGCCTCTGACCAATGATGTGACTGCTGCCCATGAGCAATTTACCCACCATACCTTCACAACTGATACACAAAAGTAAAAGGTTCAATAAAACTGCTTGCTTGAATTGATATTAAATCATTAATATTCCTTACTGGGTCAGTCTTCATTAATTGTTTCATCAGAAAATGGTGATAAATGCTCTTTGAGCCTCCAGCGTGACACCTTCAAATTGTCTGACCACCTGTACAAACCCCAAATTTTCAAATTACATTAAATTGAGTAAAACTGCAAATCTTAACATTTGAGAAGCTACAACCAGAGAACATCTGGCTTTTTTTATCAGAACTGTTGATGGCACATTTTCATTCAGTACTAACTGAATTAATATCCTAAATATAAGAAATATTTATTTTTATCATGTGTGACCTTCAGCCTGACTGGGCTGCAGTGATATTATGTGCCCTGACAGCCTTTGTGCTTTTACTTTTCATCTCTGTCACAGGTCAGTATTAATACCATTGTAAGCTATGTTCCAAAAGCCAGTAGCTCGGTTTTTAACTCAGTACTTCAAATACTCCTTTGGCTTGCTTCTAAGTTCACCAAGTCCAGAGTGCCCACTTTTTGTGTTACACCTAATTAATTCCCCCTCAGCACAGGGGAAGTTTTGTGTGCCACACTGTATTAGTTCCCCTTAGAAGCAACAATAAAACAGCAGAGAATCCAAATAGCTCAGGGCCCCTCATGTGAAACTGATCCTCTCTGCCCCTTTGGCGATTTTCTCCTCACAACCCCAATAGCAGTGGGAGTCAACTTAACATGCATTAGGAGCAAATTGGTAAAGAAACATTCAAGCATGAGGGAGGCAATAAGTAAAATATTTTCAAAGGGGAAGCAAGAGAAATTGAGCCATTGCCTTAAGCCTCTGCTGAATATCTTGCAATTTTCCACTCGTGGATCTGCTCGCTGTATATCAACCTCTGTGTGAGTTCAGTGTTTACACTACAACATTAACTGATGCAGAAAAAGATGGGAAAATTCAATGTTAAGATACAACTGCGGTTACAATTTTAATTTCATCAGCTGTTTTTGGAACTTTTATCAAACTACTTCTTCATCGGAGTGCAGTGATCAAACAAGCCACATCATTTTTCACTAAACAACAAACAACATTTTATATGGGGTTACAGGACCTTGTATTTTATATGGTGGAGAAGGAATTTGGAGTGTGGGACTTTGGTTTTGGACAGGATGGCTGAAAAGCAAGGGATGAGGCCTTTTGTAGCCTCCCCCTTCAGTTCCTGCATAGAGGAGGGCCACTAGGAATGCTTTCTCACTCCCCCTTCGACTTTAGTAACATGCATGTTCCTCAGCATTTCACAGGGATTTGGGCCCTGGGGAAGCTGGAACAGCCAGGAAAATCCTTAATCACTTTGGAATTACCTCTCGGTTATGACTGCTACTGGGGTTTCGAGAACTTTTCAAGAGAAGCGACAGAAAGGCACCTCTCAAGTCTCAGGAGTCTAGTCACGATAAAATCCTGATCAGATTCTTTATGGAGGACTCAAACAGGCTCATTTGTTTCACTTCAAGTTCTTGGATTCTGCATCATGTGATGTTAAGATACAACAAGATAAGACGGTGGAACGAAAGATAACGTTATCTGTGAGGAAGCTTAATGTCTGTGGAGAAGCTCAGTCAATGAAACATAACGACACCACAAGAGCAAATGTGTTGCACTGAACATACAGTTGATAAGTGAGCTAAATGGCTACAAGCACATATAGAAAATTAAGGCGAAAGACACATTTTCCATTCAAACATGAGCAAACTCCTAATTCACTCAGTGAAAACACTTCTTGCACTTCGCCACCCCACCTTCCTTAAACAAGCGCCACCTTCTCCTTCCTCTTCTCTCCCTCCTCACCCTCTCTCTCAGCCTCTCTTTGTCTCTCTTCTCCCCATCTCTCTCTTTTCCACCCATATTTCTCTCTCTGACTCTCAGGCTCTTTGTTGCTCCACAGAGCTACAGAGCTAAGGTCTTTGCCGGCGATTTCCACGCTCCATCTGTGGAATCCGTCATGGCTCCCTTGGCCCTTCACAGTGGAGGGCTGTCACCTGCCCCATGGGGGAGCTGGGAGGGGGCACAAAGAGGCCCAGCAGAGGGCTTGGGGGAGGTGGGGTAGATGGGAGCACAGCCGGGGGCAATCCACCCCCTCCCCCTCCAAAAATCCAGAGAGAACTGTAAGAGCACCTGAGGGGGTGAGAAGGGCAGCGCAGAGGAGCAACGGGGGCTGTTGTTGGTAATGTAAATGTACCCATGGGGATGGTTTGTCTGGGCATCTGTGTTGGTTTTTGTTGTTGGTAGAAGTGTAGTCCATCCACAGTTTGTGTGTACTTTAGGAGTTGTAAAGTGCTATATAAATAAAGCTTTATTATTATTATTATTATTATTATTTATGGGTAGACACTGTTTGAGTTGAAAGGAACTTCATCCTTCCAGATGATTTCCTTAGTCTTTATTTACGTACTTGGAAAGATTCACATCCTGTCTGTTTGCTTAGTTTTTCTATAACTTCTCAGCACTACAATATGCTGTAACAACTATTCTTGATATCGTTATGGAATTGCTCCAAAGTAAGAAATCAAACATTAGGTGAGTGCTTGGGAAAATATATTAAATGTATCAGTTTACTGTGAATGGATAAAGGTTGAAACTATATTTTATACCTGAATTTACACTTTTGCATTTGCATTGCAAAAATAAACATCATCCTTTTTAGTTATTTTAAGCAACAGATTTCAGATTTTTTGAGATCATTATATTCATGATACATTAGACATTTTTATTAGAAACTGAACACAAGTTTCACTTTCTTATAAAAACATTTTCTGGGCAGCTTTCATCACAGGAAGACCCATTTTATTGAAGTTTACAATGATCACTGTCCTGTTCCAAAGGAAATCACCTTTTGGAAACATAAAATCACTGAAAACATAAAATCTAGGTGAAAATTAATTAAAACTGAGATGCACTAAATTAAACTCGTTTTAGAGATGGATTACAATTGTTCTGTAAATTAGTTCTGACTGTACAGACTGTAGATACTGCGCACTCTGCACCGCTGTTATTGCACTTCTGGTTAGACGCTAAACTGCATTTCGTTGCCATGTACTTGTACATGGGTAATGGCAATAAAGTTCAATCTAATCTAATCTAATTTTCAGTATAACAAATCTTTTCCAAGCAGACATTTGTGGCACAACTTCACCCTGTGCTAAGGTGCATCAACAAGGGAAAAACAAAGTGGAAAGGCAAAAAGTCTGGCAACACTTCAATGTTAAGACCAACATTTCAGCTTGTAGCCTTCGTCAGTCTGTGACCCTTTTTACATGCTCTTAACAGACCCTGAAGAGGACTACAGGCAGAACTGCTTTAGTCTTAACCAAGCACCAATCTCCGGGGATGACAAATGAAGCCAATGCCAGTGTTAAAACATGCAGCTCCTTGAATGGCCGCTTGAGGCTGGCTCCAAAAGGGATTCGATCCCCACAGACTCCCATATTAAAATGCCCAACTTTACAGCAAAAATAAACATTTACTAATTTCCCCTTCCAAGACAACTGTACTGGGGGGAATTTTTACAGAACTTGCCTGTTCAAATTATAAGGGGGCTAAAACTTACGCATATTTAAAGGCATGGCTGCTTTGAGTGTAGTCTTTTATGTACCGTCAGTGGTCTTAACATTAAAATCGTTCTATACACTGCAAGTGTTGCTGGACTTTTTTGCTTTTCCAGTATAACACGTCTTCGCAATTGCTGTGAAAATGCCCTTGCTTAATTATGTGTGTGCATTTGTTAAGGACACAGAAAAGCCTGAATTGTAGTAAAAACAAAATCTAAAACAGAATTTTTTCTCTTAATCCAAAAAATGTGACTGAAGTTTATGTTGCTGCTTGCTTCACGCATGTCTTATCAACAACATGCCTGAAATTCTAAAATATAATGTCATGCAAATTAAACTGGCAGGTAATTCATAGGGTGACACATGGAGCGTTTTGGTGTTCGCTAAGAGAGAGGGCAGCCACCCAAAGCTCACTGCTCCCCACGGCTTGGCTCAGGAGCTCATACACAAACACACACTCCCCAAAGACTGCAGTCATCCAAGCACATGACCTTCTATACGGTACTGGGATTCCCCTGATTCTACATGCATTTGAAGGCTACGTTAATCGAGCTTGTCAGCCCTGAGGTGTCTCCACTTCAGTGTCCCTGCTGACGTGGCTTGTGTTGTCAAGCACCAACACATGCACACACACACACACACACACACTACTTTCCAAAATGATTTTTGTAACACTGAAATATAAGGTCAAATCAGCATCAGAGTCTACTGCCTCCTATACCGATACAGGAGGGCCGGGAAGAGTAGATGGAGAGAAGAGGGTGAGGCCTTTCCCCTGCTTCCCAGATCTTTCCCAACCTTGTAAACCTGTAGTCTCAGAGTGCCCTGTCTGCCATCATCGTCTTG